AGAAAATGGTTCCCAAAATATCTGATTTGTTCTTCCTGTTGGTGTCGATAATTTTCGGTTTCTACATCGTACCCAGAGCAAGTCGATCCTGACGATTTTGAGCTAGTGCAGCCGAAGAATCATAGGAAAAATAAATAGGAAAACAAATCATAGTTAGAAAATTTCCTCTTCCGAGCGTTACAGAAAGTATTTTAAATTTCATAGTTTTTATTCTGTTATACAAACAAGTATCCTTAGAGTGATTAGTTTATAATCATATTCTTTTTTTTTTTTTCTCGAAACGATAGGAGTTAATATAAATAAACTCAAATGATACAATGTCCAAATGAAGTGGAGTCCCCTAATAAGCGCAAATACAGACTAGGAGACATGCATAGAAGTGATCTAGAACCTCAAATCATAAATTGCAATAATATGGGGAGATTATAACCTGACCACTGCTCTAAGGCCTAGCTAGGTATATAATCTTCCAAAAAACATGATTAAATAGGTAGAAGAAAAACGGCAAAATGAGAATTAATAAGATACAAAATACAATCAAACAGAAGAAAAATTTGTGCAGTCCCTATGTGTTGGAGTATACTGTAAAGCAAACTTTTACGTGAGCTTTTGGATTGTATTATTCGATTTCCCAAAATTGACTGAAATAAATGTTTTTCACATTGTTGCATTCTTTATGATTGCTTGTATGCTAAATGTCCAATTATCTTATATTGTAGACAATGTGGTGTGTTAGTAGTCACACAGAAGATTACATTGTCGGTTCCTTATAAGATATAAATGGTATTCACAATTGAGATAGTTATGGACATGACTATCGGTGTAGGTTGTAGTATAAACTGGATGTAGCTTGTCTTGGCTATTGGTTTATACTAGTGCGCTGCGTCGCATTGAAAGGATCACAGTTGAGACGTGTTCTTCTGTTCTGACTATCATGAAGAACCTAGGTCTCGGTGACTCTACTAATTCTTAACCCTAACTGTGGTAATTAGATATATGGGATATTTGTTTGTTACTTTGACTTACCATGGGTGAGGACCAAGTATTGGTTCAATAGCTCCGTATCTTGGGTAACAACACTATATGCATGATATCTATTTATTGGCATTAGGGCACCGTGTCCTGGACATCCAGGTTGGTGACGTCCCCTTAAGGAACTCATAAGGATTATCGTATAAACCCTGCAGGTGGATTTAATCCGTACGATAATAAGGTTGAGTGGTACTACTTAAGGATTAAAAGATGTTAATTAATTAAAGCAGTCAGAAGCTTTAATAATTAATGGATGTGCGATATCTTAAACACGGGGAATTATATCGAGTCTAATAGAAGCCCTGATTCATTTCGGGATAGGACGGGAGTACAATATTAATTCTCTAGTGGAATGAATTAATATTTACGGGCCAAATTGTGTTCTGGGCTGAACATAAGAATTTGGGCCTGTAGGGAGCCCAAACCCTATACCTTCTAAGAGATCCCTAGGCTGGCCCAAGGACCTCTATAAAAGGAGGGGACTTCCCACGTTCTAAACCCTAAGAGTTTTTCGTGAGACACTCCAGCCACCATCGTGGAGAGAGTAACGAGAAGGGTTCGAGATAGATCGAAAGGGCAGTTTTCTTCTTTCAACCGTTTGGAGGATCGTCGTCCATCCGATGTCCAAACGTGGTCGGGACACAGACTAGAAGATCGCTCAGGTCGAATCAAAGCCTCGAAGAAAGGTATATCTCTGTTCGTCCTTTAGGAGCATGCTTAGGTTTAATCGAAATCATGTATGTACATGTTTGGCATCCGATATCGATCCATGGAAAGGACCGCCTCGTCGGCGTGTTCTAGCACTATGAGCTGCAGTGGTCATCATGTGAATTGGGAGGTGCTTATTCTGAAATATCCAGAGATTGCGAGTTTTCCAGAGCCACCATAGTAGGTAAGTGGACAACTGGATTCTGAATTCAGCCATTTCTGATTTGTTTATGGAACAAATTTGCTGCCACCACGATTTGAAATTACAATATTAGTCAGATATTTTTTTTATGCTAATGTGTCTATCTTTTTTGCTAGTGTAAATTATCATCAGTAATTATGAGATAAAAAATCAAAAGGCATTGCTCTACATTACATCTATTTGAATATCATCTTGGTCATTACAACTTGGAATTATGAGAATGTTATTATTCTTCTCAGCGATTGATTGTACATTGTGGAAGAAATTTGCACTTCAAATTTGAATATTGAAATTTAAAATCAGAACCATTTGTCATGCTATGGTGAAGAGATGGAGAGTTATATCCATTTCAATCATTAGATTTTAATCATTTTATATCACTTTGTTAATTTCATCATTTTGATTGACAATGGTATAAAACTTAATATTATTTTATTTTACTTGTTTTGCAGCATATGTGAACTTGCAGAATTGACTATTTTCATTTCTATGTCAGTTTATGTTGCAATATCTAGATAAAGAGTAGAAGGAGTTTTAAAATTCTTTGTTCCGATAATCTGAGAATATCGTAAATAGAACTAATAATATTGTATACAAAGAAATTTTCAAAATTTTGAAATAATGTTACCAAGTTTGTTTTTAATTTATTTTTATTCATCATTTTCTTTTTAATTGTTCATATAAATTATTGTAGTTATACTTTTCTTAGAGAANTGTACTAGTATATATCTAGTATATATTTGTATCTGTATACGGTTTCTTCTCACAATTTGTATTTATTCTTACCAAATTTTAAACTCTCCATTGTTAGTTATATTTAATCCGAAACAATATTACCTAACACTCCTCCTCGTATATTGTATCGAAAATTGTTTCTTGAATATCAAATCATTCCATATGATGGGGAGATATATATATACACACAAATTGTTTATATTTGATTCTTAAACTCCTCATAAATCTTATCTGATGCATACCAAGTTCTTTTATATCTGATTCTTAAATCCCCAAAATTTTTCAATGAATGTGAAGGAATATTGAAAGCAGCCTAAGATCAGAGCGAGAAACATTATGAATAAGAGAAAGAATTCGTCATTTTCAAAACTTTCTAAAAGGGAATCCGCTCTAATTGATCGGTTGGAAATTTTTGGGAAAAAGCAGTAAGAGGAAAAAACTATCATCGTAGCTCTTTGATCGCGAATGAAGAGTAATAGATAAAATAAGAAACGACATGCTCTGGTCTGAAACGACGTCGTTTTTACTATGATACGGCGTCATTTCAAATGAAGGCGACGTGGCCTCACCAAATTGCAGAGACACGTGTCAGACAGAGAGGCTCACACTTCCTTTTTATATATAAGATAAGACTAGAAAGCTTTCGCTGTGCACAGCACAACCGGTCCAATTTAATCATTAATATTAAACTTTTTATTAGTAATCAAATATTTGGCCTTTGATATTGAGAGAAGATATTTTTTTAACTAAAACAAATCACTCATATTACTACTTAGAAATTGATTTAAGCATTCAAACCATCAATCACGATTTTGCAAAATTTAATAAATAAACAATTTTGCAAGGATATATATTTTAAAATTTTGGTTTAGAAACAAAACCAAATGTAAAAGTCAAAGCCAATGTACAATTGTCAGGGTCAATTAAAACTTGAAAGTTCATGGTGCATAGTTAATTAGAATTAATTGGCTGTAAGGAGAGTTTTTTTACAAAGACTTACAACAACTCATCTGTCAGCCTATCCATGAATACGGTTAACCATCTCACGAAAACTTAGATACTCTTCTGAACTAATTGGCCAGATAAATCATTTATCAAACTAATTTATCATACTGCAAACGAAAAAACAACTAACAAAAAAAGTGACGAAACACATCTCAAATACAACTATCAGGTGTGAATACTCCTATCGGAAAGGCTTTTTACCGGTCTTTGTTGAATAAATATTTGAACCTTCATACATTCATTCTTAGCCGCACTCCTTACTATTTTTTTTTTAACAAGGGATTAATAGACGACAACCCTTTTGTCACTCGAATTAGCACCACCTGATCGAATCTCCTGCGGTGGCCCAATGCCATTCTATCAATGTCTTTGTGAGTTTACCAAAACGCAAAATAAAGTAGTAGTCCAAAAATAAACTAAGGCAATCAACTGCCAGCGTAAAGAAACGTTTGTTTCTAGAGGTAAAACAAAATGGTGCCAGAAATACACAATTCAACTGCATGCAATTCAATTTTGAGTGGATCCAGAAATTCACAATTCAACTGTGAATACAACAAAATGGTGCCGTGAACTAAAATATACTCGGTTTATACAAACAAACAAATAAATTCTAAAAGACGTGTAACAGAACCATGTTACATATGTTGAGCAGTTGTACATGTAAAATGTCTAATTTGTGTCCACAACCATATAGTAGTTGTACATTGATTGGCACAATCAAATGAAGAAAACTTGCACTCCAATTCTAGATAATTGTCTTTTACTATCTAAAACAGAAGAAAATAATATGCATCATTCCAACTAAAATAATGAAAAGATAAAAAAGTGAAATATATGAATTTATGAGTATAAGGCATGCAACTAAAAACAATATTCATATTGATACAATTATATCAGCGAAAAAAACAGAAATATATACCAACCCACGGGTTCTTATAATTCTTTTAAGCTTCTAATAGACACTACTATAAAGGTCAAAATCCTAGTACCCAGAATGAATCAATTCTATATTTGTGAGCTATAGTTGTGTCCTCATTTTTCCAAGTTTACCAAAGAAATCAATCTACCATTTGACAGTTTTTTACAACATAGAAAACCTTGATACGAAATTCTGCACATTATCTACATACATAATATTTTAGTTCTACTTCAATATTTTGGGAAATATATTTGGAGCACTCGTGACAAATACCATTCATCTAAGGTTTAGCACATAGACTTGCAACACTTCCAGCTCCTACATTAATGAGAGAGCCAGTCAACCACAAAACAAGTCAAAATATTATGATCAGCCATATCAATTCAAGATACACTCTCCCTATTCCAAAATCTACATACACAAAAAAAAATTCAATATTGAAGCCTTCCACACACTAAACAAAACATTCAACAACCCAAATGGGTAAAGTCCTTCCAATATGTTCGTACTTCGATTTTCTTGAACCACTTTCATTTTTAAAAATCAACCAAATACACATACCATTCCATGGGGCATAATAACGAAACAACAATTAGTGCAAACATACTTTTCTTTGTCTTTCCAAAACCTCCTCCCTCTTGGAAGCTTGTTCCGTGCTCTTATGAAGTCCCTCCATCAAAAAACTGAATCGCAACAAAAGCAAGTTATACCACATAAGAATTCCCAATCCATAATTTGCAAGCACACCTCATAATAAAAGAACTTTTGAAAACCAATCAACAAAATGGAACAAACCTTCTCCAACTCCCCATTTCTTTGAATATTTTTTATTGAGGGACCCTGCACGCGACAGAGACCTTGAGACGCACCACTGCTTGGGCGGCTGTTTTTCCTCCACCAGAGGATGAGACAGGGAAGGAGACGAACTCGAACTATCCAATCCAACCATAATCCTTTATAATCAATCAACACCTCGCAGATAAACTTCAACGCTAAACCTACTCAAATTCAACTCCATACCTAAATCAAAGTGAGAAAGCAAAAAACTAAAACTCTAACCCGCCGATTAGTGCCTAAAACTCAATTTTAATGCAAACAAGCAGAAGAAAAAAGTTGCCTTAGAAAAAAAAATTATCACAATCTCTCTTCAGGCAGAAATTCCAAACCGATCACACAAACTTCTAAAACCTATAGAAAATAAATTCAAATAAAATGAACGCTGAAAATTCACGCACATCGAACCTTGATAATCCCACCGAGTCTGAGAAGAACCCGAACTCCTCGGCGTCGTCGGATCTCTTGCTGCTCTTGATGTTGCCGTTGAACTCGAACCACACGACGACAGAAAAATGAGACCCAGAACGAAAAAAAATATCCAAGAGATTTGCAGAGGAAATAAGGACGGGAGATTGAGATTTAGAGGCTTCAAAATCGGGTGGAACGAAAAAAAATTGAAGACATTTGCATAGGAAGAAAGATTGGCAGATTCCGATTTGAGGGCTACAAAAATTGGGTGTAAAAATTGTCTGTGGATGGATTGAATTGAAGGCTCAGGTTTAGAGGAATAAAAGGCACAAAACGTCGTATTGATGAGGGCGACGTGGCTTCATAAGGAGAGGAGTGACACGTGTAAAAAATTGAAGGTAGGGCTTCCTTTTTATAGATGAGAGAAAATAAGATAAGAGAAAATGGATAGTAGAGATAGTAGAGATAGAGATAGAAATATATAGAAATGGGATGTAATTTGGACTCTTTAATCAAATTTACTGTTTAATCTGAATTTTTATTTGTTGTTTAAAAGATATGATATATTTTCATTCAAATAATTATGCATTTACTAAGCATGATTAAATTTTAGGATATTGATGAAAATGACAAATCTAGCCCTTGTTGCACCCAATCAACCAAAGAATTAGAGAAATGATATTTTCCTCAAAACATTTCAATCACAACACTCCTAAAAAAACAAAAGAAAGAAGAAGAAGAAGGGAACTGATGCCTACTCAGCCCAAATTCACAAAACCTTCCCCCTCTCAAATCACTCCCAATGTGCCAATTGATCTTTTATACAAACAACTTTTGTTAAATCATGACAGACAACTTCTTGCCACTTCCCAGCTTCTGTATTGCATTACTCATCAATTTCATCTCACAACAAGCTCCTCAAAGCATATCATTTCTGAGAAACAACCGATACAACAAAGGCAACCATGAGTTAAGGACACTGGCCCGCCTTCATCCGCAATACTGTCACAAAATGCAACCAAGGACAGGTCCATCTGGGATAGCATCCCGTGCACCTGAAAATGTGATAATATTTGCATTAAATTAAAGGAACAAGGCCCAACCTAGAGAAATTTAGAATAAACTGATGGATGGACATACAGAATCTCCAAGTTCATAGGCTCCACTGACAATCCTCGCTCAATGGTAATCATTCCCATTGTATTGCATTTCTAATAAAGCACAGACGAACTGTTAGTATAAAGACTTATAAGAGTTGAATGACAGTACCTTTTAGGTTAGTTCTTTCATTATTATTACTACTGTTATAAAGAGTTCTTGGGCACTAGTTACCAAATCCAGGTTAAACAAACCTTGGAATTAGTTAAAATGAGATCAAAATCCTCCAAGAACGATTTACATGTGATGTAATTTCCGCTATCAATATGCTGAAGCAGAGTAGCTATACATGTCCATAGGATTTTGGATAATTGCATTTTGGTGCATCATCATCCATCTTGAAGGCACTAAAACGCTTATCATACAGAACCCTGTGACAAAAGTGTGACGAGAGAAAAATCCACAAGTTAATCAGTCAATCAGTAAAAAAGCAATAAAATATCGTCTGTCTCACCGATTACAAATATCTCGAAAGCACATGCGCAGCCGTCGAAGGGCGTGCAATTGAGCTTCAGCTTTGGCCCGTAATTCGGAGGCCTTTGGTGCTGTATCCACTTTTGGTGCTTTCGAAGTTCCAGAAGGTTCTAGGATCTAGCTGATTCCTTTGCTTCACCATCAGATTGAACTGACAATGCTGCATCAATCAGGATGATAAATTTTGCCAGGTGCAGCACGTAATTACCTCTTCCAAAAGAACTGAATAGGAACTAATATGAAATTGACCATGAATCCACAGCCATATCAGTCAACTTATTTTAAATTGAAAAATTGGCATAATTGTTTATTCGGTTTAAATGCATGCATACCAACTTAATCAGCATGAGGGTAAAGAGGCGCCATTTAGAACATAGGGAAACTGAGTTTTTCAAGCACAAGATATACTACCTTGTCTAATAAATGTGGGAAAATTTTGTAATATGTAAGAAATTTAACAGGCATACTCATAACTATTAGGCGAATTGAATAAAATCCTAAGCATGTAATTCTATCCGTTCATAGAATATAGATCTTTCCATTAATTTAATTGCACATAGAACTTACAAAAGTCCAGCTTATAATCATTCCCTGTTTTCTTTTAATCTATGATGTTGATCTACCATTCTCTTTCTCGTAATCTCCAATGATATTAGTATTTATGGAGTTTGACTTTATTTCCATAAATAGCAAGTTTATTTATTTGATGCATTTATTTATTATTACCTGCATTAAATTGAACATTAAATTTTAAGTCTAAGCCATGGAGGATCCGTTCGATTTTTAATTTAAAAATCGAATTTATTTAGCCCAAGTACCGGTTTTATTTTAAGATGAAACCGAGCTTTAGAAGATCATAATTTTATTTAAGTCAGACCGAAGTCCGAACGAGCCGAGCCTCGGCCCAATAATTTTTCCAGCGAGTTCAAACAACACGACCATATTATTTCGGCCTACCTAAATTCGGCCCAATAACAAAATTGAGCCCATCATTTTGTTTTATCCGACCCAAATAGCATTTTATTTTAGTCCAAGTCATGCCTGATGTAATTATTTTGGTTCAAGTCCCTTTTTAATGAAATGGCCCAACATTTAGTCCAACATTCTTATTTTTCATTGCCCAAGTACAAATCCAAGAGCATTAAATGCTCTTACCTAACTTCATCTACCATACACTCTTCAAACCAAGGTTGTCAAAACCGGACCGATCATCGAACCGGTCAAGTTACTGGTTCAATAGTTCACTGGTCCGACCAGTGGTTGAACCGGTTGGATCGTTATTTAATTTATTGATATTTTTAAATATATATGTATATAATATTTCATAGATATAGTTAACTTAATTTTTAAGTTATTTAATTTATTGATATTTTAAATATATAATACTTTATAAATATTAAATATAGTTGACTTATTTTTTAGGGAAAACATCTTTTTCACCCCAATACAAAGATACATTAAGTTTTTCACACCGTCCACTACCAATCTAACTTTTTCACCCCGAAAAATACGAAGGTTATGCGAATGAACTGCATAACTATCGCATATCAATTGTATAACTGTCGCATATTCATCGCGCAATGTCTTCGCACTTTAACTTTTTCTACCCTATAAAGTGCGAAGGGATATGCGAATGTCTTCGCACTTCTAACTTGCGCACAATGTCATCGCGCAACTATCGCATATTCATCGCACAATGCCTTTGCGCTTTAACTTTTTCCACCCCAGAAAGTGTGAAGAGATATGCGAAAGCCTTCGCACTTCTAACTTTCGCACAATGTCATTGCGCAACTATCGCATATTCATCGCACAATGTCTTTCGCACTTTCTGGGGTGAAAAACTTAGCTTTTTATCGGGCAGTGTGAAAAACTTAGCAAGACTTCAAAATGGGGTGAAAATAACTATTTTTACTATTTTTTAAATGGTTAGTCTCACCATAGATAGATTAAGCAATAAAATGATAGTACAAAAATATGAAGAAAAAAAAAGAAATACTTCCTCACACTCCCACATTGGGCAATAAAATAATAGGAAATAAAGATGGGATATGGGAAAAGAAATTCCTTCCACATGCAGGTAAAAGGGAAAAGAAATTTCTTCCACGCGTGACTTTAATCCTTTATCTTAACAACTGAAAATTTGGAATTCTTACATCTTGTCCTACATCGGTAACCATAAAAAGTTAGTTGCTTTATTAAAGTTTTAGAATTTATACATAAAAATTATTTGACCGGATTGGCAAAAAAAAAAAAAAAAAAAAAATAAAAAAAAAAAAAAAAAAATCGACCGGTTGAACCAACCGGCCTTTTGGCCGGTTTGGCCAGTTCGACCGGTTTTTGGCTGACTTTTGCCACAGCCGGTTTCTACCATTGAACCGGACCGATTAACTGGTCGGTTCCCGGTTCAACCGGTCGGACCGACCGGTCCGGTCCGGTTTTGACAACTATGCTTCAAACCCTAATTCATGTAGCCTATATATAAATGCATTATCCCTTAGCACACAATTTCTCATTTCATCATTTCAAACCCTATGTCTAGAAAAAAATTCTAAGGCAAAAAAATCCTACTAAGAGAAATGTCATTATACACTATAACATTAATAACGGAAATGTAAATAATTATATTATATATATATATATAATAAATAAATAGTTATATATTAATCAACCCGGTTCGACCACTGGTCTGACCAGTGAACCATTGAATCGGTATCTTCACCGGTTCGGTTTCCATAACCTTGGTTTTTTTACAGTGGGGGTTGATTTCAATTGTATTTTGTGATTTTAGTTTGGGCTTTTGTGCCTTTTTTTTCTTGCATTTCTTTATTTATTATTATTTTGTATACTGTCCGATATATGTATGATCAAGGCATTCAAATCTTTTTCCCCCTTATACAGACATTAGTTGTTGATGAAAAACTAGAAAGAATCACAAAGTCGTCGAGTCGAGTCGAATTCATTTTAGGGTACCAAATTTTCCTCCCTTTTGATTTATTTATTAGGTTTTACAAATTTCTAACTCAAAATCCAAACCACATATGACTCTAACTTATAAGCTCATAGGTCTAAATTTGCATATATACTTACAAAAATAAATATATATCCACTTATATTTATCAATTTAAAACAGAAAGAGAAAAATGAATTACCTTTTCTATCAATGAGACGAAATCTTTTTCGATGCTTGTTGAGACTACAGTCAAAATTAAAAAATGTAGAAGTTATATATTCGACTTTCAAGTATAAGGGAAAACTATAAGACCTAAAACCGTTATGAGAAGAAGAATAAGACGAAGAAAAATTGCATTATAATGTTGTCGTTTACTACATATGCAATGAACATGACATTTAAGAAAAAAATAAATATTGAAATAAGGACCAAATGAACAAAGCCATTTGTTATCAAACCTTTCAGAAAGCAAACAAATATTTGCACAGGGACATACACATACATTACATATATATATATATATGTTATATGTTATTAATAATATATGCTAACAAATTATTGTCTTGCACATGGAGATTGTGTAGTCAGCTTTAGACTTTCTACAACACAAGTGCTGATGTTTTGCGTGCATGTACCAAATTCCTTTACTATAAAAAATTCAGAAAAATTAATTGGCTCATATATATTTAAATGAATGTACCATGGAAACAAACCAGGCTCTACAGATTTGCTGGAATAAAAAAGGCTATATCAGTAGAGATAGCAAATAGTAGTAGCTGCTATCGACACATTAATACCCATTGGCTAATCAGTCTCTTTAATCTCTATGTCACATTTTGTTGAGGAAAATTTATACTCGAGAAGCATGAGTTGGTTTTCCTACTCAGGATAGTCTCCATCTGTTTTTATTTTGCTCAAAACAAAGGATACCCTGAATTAATAACATATGTGTTTAATAAACTCATTTTAATATTTTAATTTCCCCAGGATCCCCTGTTGGAACTAGTCTCCATCTGTTGTACAAACACGATTTCATAGCTGGTGTAACTTTGATTGAGATCATAACCTTTAACATAGAGAAATGTACTGGAGCTTTAGTGTGTGAAAGATTCCACCTTATAATTTGTTAAAAATAGTTAAAAACCTATACTCGTAACCTTTGAGTAAAAAACAAATAGTTAACATGATTACTGATTCGGTGATTCTAATTTATCCACAAATTGAATCAAATCACATGAAATCTACTCTTCAAAGAGTAGCATAAACTGAACATTAAAATAAACATAACTGCATCAAGAGGCGACATACGAATGCAACAAACGCAAACCTTTTGACGGGTCCACCCAAGCTGCAAATTTCTTGAATGAATTCTAATCACCTGGTAAACTAGGATACAGAAAATTAGATTATGAGAAGTCCCGGCAACGGAACTCTTTTTGTACTTTTATGTTCTTTTTTTTGTTCAACAATATATGTTCATGGAATGCACCAAAACTATATATCTAACCAAGTTTATGTAAATTATGTTCATGAAAATGGCTTCATTTATTACTTGTTGCATAACATATTATTACCAAATGGTACACAAAAACCAACTTTAAGCCATTTTCTGTAGCCAGATGTTATGCATAAGATAAGCCCACCAGATTACTCTGTATTTATATAAACTTGACAACAAAAGATTCAAAACATGCCAAATTCTTACATTTTTCCCGTGTCTTTCAAACAGTCGTCGGGCACAAACGAGAGCCTATCGGCCTTCAGATCGTAAAGAACCCTCACACACATAAGCACTACAACTAACACTCCTAAAACAGTTAGAACTACCTAGAAATAAGCCTATTGCACAGGATAGCAAATGCTCATTGGTGTATAAGAAATGAAAAGGGTATGAACAACTAATAAACCAACATCTTCAATAATTACAGCCTCTGATGGAACAATACCCCTCCAGCCACAAAAAATAAAAAAAAGGAGGCCCTCAATGGAGTTGACAAGATAAAGAAACAAAATACAATAAAATGAAATAGAAAGATAGAGAAGAAAAACGAAAACAACTATTATGATATTCAAACACAGTCACTGTTCTCCACCAACTAAAATCTAAGAAATACCCAACCTGATCACAAATTCAAAAACAAGAAAATCAGGCAACACAACTGTCCAAAAGCCTTAAACCAACACAAACATAGAACTAACCACACCAACTCCTATTGAAAGGACCTTTTTTTTTAACCCAAAATTAAGCAACCCGTTAGCTATCTCACCTGACCCGAAATTGGGGTTCGGATTGGTCAGGAACTTTTTCCTCATATTGACAAGGACAGGGGTAAAGACATTAGACAATTGGCATAAACAACAGTACGTTGCCATTGCCATAACCACTTGAAGCTCTTCCGTAATTTCAAATAGACACACACACACACACATACATAATCCAGTAGAAAAGAAGAATTTGCCGATGAGCGACATCATATACAGAGTAAGAAACATGAGTCACAAGAAAAAAAATAATGGATCAAACAACTTATGTATCACAGCAAATTCATAACTTTATGCCTATTTTCCAATTAACAACAGTCGCTACCCCTAAAACACGATCCAAAACAACTAAAAAATCAATTGAACATATATATCATACCTGGGTTGATAATAAGGTGGTTCACGAAATTCGTTGCCCTTAATCTCGTATCCCTTCTCCTTCTTCTGCTCGATTGAAAACCACTCCAGGAATTGAAGACGAAATTCGCCTAGAATGCAGTAGCGATAAGTAGGGTTCTAAGAATCCTCACAGTTTTTGTTTGGAGTAGTTTTTGGAGTAGTTCGCGCGATTTTTTTGGTTCTTTAATATAAATTGAATTTTTGTTTTTATTATATGGGAGTGGGGAACAAATAGGAATAGGTTTAAGTGTTATGTAACACTATATAAATGTTATAACTTACATAACGCTTTTAAAAATGAGTGTTATAATATGAATAAGTGTTATAACTCACATAGCACTTTTTAAAGTAGTGTTATGTATTTGTAGTCTTCTTATAGCGCTTGTTAAAATAAGTGTTATCTAAGGGTTATGTGTTTCTTAGATAACACTTATTTAAAAAAGCGTTATGTAAAAAGTGTTATCTGAAGCATTTTTTGGCGTAGTGTTAACTCTTCTCAATATTATGAATATAGTTAAACAATATCAATCGATGATTATTACATAATTCGCAACAAAATTAACTATTCATCTACTCATTTACTTTTAACTAAATATAATTATCAATCAGTTACAATCATTATTTTACTACGCTCACATCACATTTTCTTTTAATAAGAGAATTGCATTAAAGCAACTTGAGAGTACATTATTTAAGAAAAAGAAAACAAAACATGAAAGGAATCCTTCCATTGGTAAGAAAATATTGATGCAACCGCTCAATTAGCAATATTATGTTCGACATTGTTCTTCATGAGATATGAAAACACGTACCACAGTTCAAAGATGCTAAAATATCCTTGATATCAACAAACAACTCAAAGAGAGGATCCAATGCATTCGAGTGAAGTATACCTCCTACACTACCTAAGGAGTCTGTCATAACATTCTAAAGTTTAAAGTCCGACCAGTGCAAAACGCAAACCGTAACTCGCCAAAATTTCCGCTCGTAAAGGAGAAATTGAACCTCAATATAGTTACATAAGTAGCAAAAGCTGCCTAACATGCGTCGTTTGAAAGAGGTAGATATATAATTCAAAAGTGGAAAGTTTACTTTTTATTTAAATAGATTGACTTAGTTATTAAGGAAATTTTTTGAATAAAAATTGAAATTAACTTTTATCCTTTTGCATGAAATTTAGTTTTTGAATTTGTATGCTTAAATATTATCCTACTTTTTTAGCTTCTTATAGTAAACTTTAATTTTCAAAATTGTAGGCCAAAATATTGTCAATTTTTTTTAAATAGTTTATGTGTAATATTATTTGAAAATAATTATGTGTCAATAAATCAATTTAAAATGCAAATATATTTTAAAATGGACGACAACAATTTTTGGTATTACGTCTTCCACAATAAATCTCAAAGTATGAAATTAGTCATTTAGTTTAATATCCTAAATCGGAAATCAGTATTTTAATTACATATAAAATTATCATAATGTTTAAAAAGTTTGTGTTAATCATCTCTCATTAAAAAATTTAATGGTAGAAAATAAATTAATTAAGGATTAAGTAATGGCAAATGTTATTTTTTACAAGTAATTTATGTATAAAGTACTTTTATAATAAGTACTTATATATATTATATAAGTGAAAAAAATTATTATGTTTAAAAAATAATATTTGATATGCAAAATATATATGCTATGTAGTGACTCATGTTGGTATTGAGTTATCACGACTATTGCAAAACCAATTGATTAATTTAAAATTTTAAAATAAATTTTTCTATAAATATGTGTAAGTAGAAATAAGTAATTTATCATTAAATATACAATTTATAATCTTAATATATTGTCATTTGTTATAAACATCAACTACATGAATCGTAAAATATTTTTTATTTCATAAAGTTACATATAAGAAAAATAAGAAAATTTCATTTGATCAATCGAGTGATTGAATTAGGCAAATGCATAGTATTAGTTGATATTTCAAATAGTCCAAAAACATGACACAACTGAGGTGACCGAGTTATGGGTCAATGACACAACTGAGGTTGATCCCGAGTGGCCAAGTTATGATTCAGTTTGACCAGACTAAATCAATTATTGAACTAAATATAAATTTTAATATTAAAATACTTTATTAGAATAAATGTAATGGAGTTCATACTCCAAATAATTATATTAAGAATGCTTTAATGACACTATGTTTAATGATTTATGAAAACTTATATATTATCTATATATATATAATTGGTGGCTAATAGCATTTAATAAAACATTTAATAAAAATCATTTCGTTTTCCCTCCAAAAACCGTTACAAACTTTATCATTTATATCTCTCTCTATATTTAATTGCCAACAATAAATTTAACAATATTAATTATTATTTACCATCTTTTTATGTTACAATCTTCTATTATTATTATTAATCCATCATATCTAATTAATGCTAAAATATTTCATTGCACTTTTTATGGTTAATTAAAATAAAGCCGTTATATTTTATATTAATGGAGTAATAATTATATTATTTTATTATATCACATAATAGTTGTTATTAAAACTAATAATTATAGTTTACACTAAATGATAAATGAAAATTACATAAACATAAAAAAATATATTGTAAACTTTTTGCTAAAGTTATTTATTCTAAAATTAATATTATATTTTTTTTTATCTTATTTAGCGATTGTATTTTTAAATAAGTTAATTTATTTTAATGTTATATTAAAATTTCTTAAAATCGCATAATCAAATGTTATAATAAATTTAATTTTTTTAAGCTAATAAATTGGCGATCTCTCAAAATTACATTATTTATTATATTTTATGTAATTAATATAGTGGTTCATATGCAATCAAATAGTTATGTACTATTTATTTTATTTTAACCAATGATCAAATTTTAAAACATAATATCATTATCTTATTTATATTTTTATTATTATATGCATAAATATAACTTATAATACTCTATGTTTAAAATATAATATCATTGTGTAACTTATAATTTTAGTACTAGCATAAATATAACTTATAATATTCTATTTACACTGTGCAAATGCACAGGTCGAATACTAGTNNNA